CCCACCCCACCGACCCGCTGACCTGCCACGGACCCGGGACTGCCATCGACCCACCAACCCCCACAGCCCCCCAATTCCCCACGGAACCCCGAATACCCCCACGGACCCTGGCCACCACGGACCCCCAACCCCCCATGGACCCCCCCACCCCCAGGCGACCGCCCAGCAGACCTCCCAACCCCATGGACCCTCACCCCAGGGTACCCCCACGACCCCCAACCCATGACCCCCCAGCCCTAGGGACCCCCAAGCGAACCCCCAACCCTGACCCCACCCCCAGGGACCCCACGGACCCCCCAACCTCCATGGACCCCCCCACCGGGCAGACCAGCACCCCAACCCCATGGACCCCCCCACCCTACGGACCCACGACCCCAACCGGCATACCCGCACCCCTAGGGACCCACACGGACCCCCAACCCCCATGGATCCCGCCCAGCCCCAGGGACCCCCACGGACCCAACCATGGACCCTCGATCCCCATGGTTACCCCATGCGACGCCCAACCCCCCATGGACCCCCACCACCCCTAGGGACCCCACGGACCCCCAACTCCAATGGACCCCACCCAAGACCCCCACGACCCCAACCATGACCCCACTCCTAGGCGACCCCCCACGCTACACCCCAACCCCATGGATCCCCCACCCCTAGGGCAGCCCCCACTGACCCCAACCTCCGATGGACCCCCACCCCCAGCGGACCCCCAGCGAGCCCCAACCATGGACCCCCACCCCTCAGGACCCCCACGGACCCCCAATCCCCATGGGCCCTCGACCCCCATGGACCCCCACCCCCCCAGACCCCATCGATGGAATTCGGGGCTGTTGTGGTGGAGAAGAGTCATTTCGACTTGCTGGGATGCTAAACAGTGTGACAGAGAGAGAGAGAGGCCACAGAAGGGAGTGGGGGGGACTAAAGGAAATGAGGTCTTCCGTAGTGAGCAATTCGTCTCTCCCTTCCGCTCCCCAGAGAGCAGAAGTTAATGAACTGAGCAGAATGGAAAGGCATAAATTCCGAGCTGCCCGGGAGAAATTGCAGGGCTCATCCCTGTGCAGGAAATGCTGATGTAACGCCAGGGCGTAAATGCTGAGTGCTGCCAGTGACGTGCAGGAAAGAAGAAAGTTAAATATGGGGCCGGGCGCGGCGGCTCACGCCTGTCATCCCAGCTCTCTGGGAGGCCAAGGCGGGAGGATCACTCGAGGTCAGGAGTTCGAGACCAGCCTGAGCAAGAGCGAGACCCCGTCTCTACTAAAAATAGAAAGAAATTAATCGGCCAACTAATATATATAGAAAAAATGAGCTGGGCGTGGTGGCGCATGCCTGTAGTCCCAGCTCCTCGGGAGGCTGAGGCAGGAGGATTGCTTGAGCCCAGGAGTTGGAGGTTGCTGTGAGCGAGGCTGACGCCACGGCACTCACTCTAGCCCGGGCGACAGAGTGAGACTCTGTCTCGAAAAAGAAAAAAGAAAAAAAAAGAAATACTTTGGCGCTTCGTACGGTTTGCACTGGGCTCGCCTTGAATCTGGGGCTGTTTCCTTCACCCAGCCGGTTGTCGTCAACGGAAAAAAAAGCCAAACTCTGTAAAATAATTTTAAAGAGATTTATTCTGAGCCAAATTGGAGGACCGTGACCCGGAGCCACTGCCAAGCGGCCTTGGGCAAGTGGACTCACCGTGGCCGGGTCACGGTTTGGTTTTATACAATTCAGGGAGAGACAGGGGTTACAGGTAAAGC